TTGACAAGCTAAAGTTTTAAAACTGATTCTTCAGTTGCACAGGGCCCCGTGGAGATCCGGTTATAAAAGATCCTCGGTATCCCCTTGCTTGTCGTATAAGGCGACTAAATGGGACAATTCTTCGGATGAAACTGTACAGTACCCGCAACGTTACTCTTTACAATTTCAATAGTGTCTTATCGTGTGTGTATTCTATCGTGTCGTGCGTGTACTTTTATCGTATCGTGTGTGTATCCTATCAGGTTTTCTGTTTATTCTATCGTGTTTTGCGTTTATCAGGTTTTGCGTTTATCGGATTTTGCGTTTATCAAGTTTTCTTTTCGTTTTCTTTCTGAACAATGGCGCCAAAGTCGAAAGAATATAGAAGGTTATATTCCATGAAAAAATTATTATAAGTTGCTGGATCTCATGTGACCATCAAGGCCCGTGGAGTTGAGCCTGCTATTGATTTTAATTATTTTGTAGGAGATATCCGTCTACCAGCAAGCTTGAAACAAACTCTCCCTTAATCAGATCACCTCGTATATTTCTTTTCCGTCCAGGAGGGAGAGTCGAGTTTAATATTGACAAAAAAGAGAGTGTAGTTTTATCCATCCTTGTCCTGCACATTAAAACCCCGTGTAGACAGATATTTTCACGTACCTTGTTCCTCTGGATGCAGAAGATTGTGGCTCATCATAAAGAAGGTGGCAACAGAGTTGAATTGACCTCGGTTGGGACTTACAACAAAGTAAGACAAGTCCTTGACATAATGGATATTATAGCATTGCTGGAGAAACTTTTATGTCCTGCTTGCAAACCAGAAGTCTCTGTTGAGACTGTAGCTCTACTGGTTTATACTTAAAACAAAGGAAGAGAAAAGTAGCAATTGGGACTTGAAACTTTAAAACAGCAATAAATAGAAAAATGATCCTTGCCACTCATCAAAATAAAAACCGATGCACAGAATTATGTACTAGTATCTTAGTATAGTCTACTTGTTTGCCAAATTATATTGTATCGGACCAAAACTGTAGGAGAAGCATTTTAAAAGAATTTCTCAGAAACTTCTATTTTAGTTACCATGGCAACACCGTTCATTGAAATCAAAAATCGATGCACAGAATTACGTAGCTTAGATTATTCAACTTGTGTGCCAAGTTATATTGAAATAGGACCAAAACTATAGGAGGAGTAGCATTTCGAAAGAATTTCACAGAAATTTCTATTTTTAGTAACCACGGCAATACCGTTCATCGAAATCAAAAACCGATGCACAGAATTATGTATCCTAGTGTAGTCGACTTGTGTGCCAAGTTATATTGAAATCGGACCAAAATTGTAGGAGGAGTAGCATTTTGAATGAATTTCACAGAAATTTCTATTTTTAGTAACCACGGCAATACTGTTTATTGAAATCAAAAACCGATGCACAGAATTATGTACCTTAGTGTAGTCTACTTGTGTGCCAAGTTATATTGAAATAGGACCAAAACTATAGGAGGAGTAGCATTTCGAAAGAATTTCACAGAAATTTCTATTTTTAGTAACCACTGCAACAGCGATCATCGAAATCAAAAACTGATGCACAGAATTATGTATCTTAATGTAATCTACTTGTGTGCCAAGTTATATTGAAATAGGACCAAAACTGTAGGTGGAGTAGCATTTTGAAAGAATTTCACAGAAATTTCTATTTTTAGTAATCACGGCAACACCGTTCATCGAAATCAAAAATCGATGTACAGAATTATGTATATTAGTGTATTCTACTTGTGTGCCAAGTTATATTGTAATCGGACCAAAACTGTAGGAGGGTTAGCATTTCGACAGACATTTCTATTTTTAGTAACCACGGCAACACCGTTCATCGAAATCAAAAACCGATACACAGAATTATGTATCTTAATGTAGTCTACTTGTGTGCCAAGTTATATTGAAATCAGGCCAACACTGTAGGAGGAGTAGCATTTTGAAAAATTGTTTACAGACAGACAGACAGACAGAAGGACGGACGACGGACGCATTATTATCGCATAAGCTCTTCTGGTCAGAGCTAAAAAACGAAATGGTGAGCTCGATTCAGAAAATAATACAACGGTTGACTTTAGGACACCAGCTCCGATTCCAAACATCCTCACCTCCTCAATTAATTTCTCTAAAATTTGGCCCATATTTGGTCAATATGGAGACTCTAGGGGTTATTGGAAAAGGAGAGAACCCTCCTCATACGACATCTGCTTCCACTGTAAAACAGCCGGACATTGGAGGAAAAACTGCCCACTGTTTAGCTCCGCAAGTCAATCAAGTGCAAACTCTGGCACCTCCAGTAAATGATAAGTATGATTTTTCTGGTTTTGCATTTAGGCAGATAAGACATCAGAGTAAAAAACTGCATTTATTTATAGAACAGCAGTTTTTCTTAAGAAATTTAGACAATTTACAGTATTCTAAAGGCGTTAAGCATAGGCTTAGAAATTCTGTAGAATTTTGGAAGAGTGTCCAGGCTCCAGAATTTGTTATAAGTACAATTGAAAGTGGTTATGTCATTCCATTTATCAACGCTCCAACGGATTTATTCTTAAAAAATAACCGATCTGCATGTAATAATGAAGAGTTTGTTTCAGGGGCTGTGTCAGAACTCTTAGAATATGGTTGTGTGCGTAGAGTACCATTCAAACCTATTGTTGTTAACCCATTGAGAGTGGCGATCAATAGCTCTGATAAAAAGAGATTGATTTTAGACTTAAGTGTTTTAAATGTCTTTGTTAGAAAGGATAAGATCAAGTTTGAGGACTGGAAAGTAGTTTTTCCGTACTTTGAAAAGAATTGTCACATGTTTAAATTCGATCTCAAGTCTGGTTATCACCATACAGATATTGCATAGCGCAACAGTCATTCTTAGGTTTTTGTTGGAAAGGGGAGTTTTATGTGTTCACTATTTTGCCTTTCGGCCTCAGTTCGGCACCTTACATTTTTACAAAATGTCTAAGGCCATTGGTTATGTTTTGGAGACAATCGGGCATTAATATTGTCTTATATTTGGATGATGGTATAGGAATGTCCTCTTCTCGTGAATCTTGTAGTAAGCATAGCGCTTTTGTTAAAGATTCTTTAATACAAGCTGGATTTTTAGTGAATGAAGAGAAGTCCGTTTTTGAACCTATTCAGAAGTTAGAGTGGTTAGGTCTTGTGTGGAATTCTATTGAACATTGTTTAAGCATTCCAGATAGAAGGGTACAGGATTGTTTAGATACATTGTCAAAATTGTTTGATGAGTTACAGTGGCTGGAACGTTATTGTTGACAATGAGTAGTTGGTCCGTAGCGACCAAGTGAGCAAAATTTCAAAGTAGCCCTTCTCTTTAATTACGTTGCTCATTAAATTGTAAATTGTATGCAATAAAGAAAAAATTACCCCCCCCCCTTCCTTGGGAATCACATACCGGGGTACCCCTCGCTTGTTCGCTAGCGCGAACATGTCACCGCCCATATATCAGAATATCTCGTGATACCCAAATTTGGTCGAAAACAATTAAAACCCCTTAAACATGCCTATGGGAGTTTATTGATTTGCCCCCCCCCCCCCCCTTCGTCGCCTTCCTTAGCAAAATCCCTGATTCGCCGTTGACTGTTCAAACACACTCCTTAGCTCACGAGAAAAAAAAATAATTTAGCGAACATGATAGACTCTTATTTTAATTAATTTGTAACAACAATTTAGTAATACAAATAAAATCATATACTTATTTCTTGCAGGATATTTGTTGATGGGGGGTGTTCACACACATTGATTAATATTTTATACAGGTTACAAGTATTTATTAATATATCAAAGACAAAAATCAGTTATCATACTCTCAGTGTATAATTTAGAGTTACAACTATTTTCAAATCGGGATCGGAATCCCTCCGATTCAGATTCGGATTCGATTCGGATTCGATTCATATTCAGAAACATCTCTATTAAGGATTCTAAATGTGGTTACAAACTCTTATTGCTGAAAACAACTTTTAAAATAGATTCAGCTTAGAACATCACTGTCTGGGAAATACTGGACTCTTGTATAATACATATTTTGAAGACATTATGATATTGATTAACACAATAACATTTAAAACATTAAGTAATGCTTAATTATTAACACATACAAATTAGCAAACTTCAAAATTCAATGAATTCTCCAAATGTTGCTATTCAGTTCTTTCCTGTGAGAAATCAATTATTCTCGGGCAGTTAAACTCTATTCTATGACTAATCTAGGCAGACCGTCAACCATGTCATTCGTTCTCGTGCAAGTTGTATATAATATAGTGCAAATGTTGTTACAATATATACATATTTTTAAAAAATTAATTGCAATTCACGAACTGTAAAAATAAATAAACAACAACTTCTATAGAGCTCATGCAGAGCATGCTCCAATTCTATGTTACTAATTACAAAGACAAAAAGAGAAAATGTATTGCTGTTTCCATATAATTATTCTTTATATGAAAACTATTAATAAATATCTATAATAAACCTGGCATAACAGTTACAAATGCAAGTCACGATGCTTGTTAAATCAATGTATTTTAAGTTTAAGATAAGGTCAGTCAAACGTGTTGTAAACGAATCGATCGATACATCTATACTAGACGGGGTATTTTGTAAGCATGACACAAGATCTTCAGAATTCTCAATAAAATCTGACCTGGCTTGAGAAATCAAATTCTGATTCCAGACGAATTGAGTAAAAACTGGATGTTCACTTTCAATATGCACAATTGAGTTACATATAATATTTTTAATACAACCTCCACCTTGCTTAGATTTTGGAATTTTCTAGGAAAAACAAAACTATAAAACCCTTCAACCTCAACAGCGAACTCCTTTTCAATCCATCATTCCGTCATAAGAACGATGTCATACGAAAGGATAAAACAACGGAAATTTTTATCGTTGAATTTAGACGAAAACCCTCCGTTTATGTTCCAGCTTATGACTTTTACACTAACACAATCATTCTCCACTATCCCCTAGGTATCCTGTGTTTGGCACTCCACGGGCTCGTCTTCATCGTGTTCATCTCTGTCACCCTCAGTTTCCCTTATGGTCCCTCCCTTGTACAGTTTACCGCTGATGTAGAGTTTATCGTACTTCAACTCTGCTTTTTTATTTTGTCCCAACGCTGAATGCAAAATGGGCATCAAGGCTTTCCGTTTCTCTACAATTTCCCTTAGGAATTGTTCACGCACACTGTAGTCGGTATTTTTAAGCTTGTATGCAGATGCCCTGACATTTTCCCTGACTCTAAAGTTCGAGAATTTTGCAACAATCGGTCTTGTTTTGTTGTGGAGATATCTTCCGATCCTATGGGCACGCTCGATGTTGGCCTTAATTCCATAAAGGTGTAATTCTGCTTCACAAAATTGATCAATGAGACTCGCGCAATTCTCTCTGTTGTTTCCACGGTACTCGGCCAGACCGAAAAAAAGCAAATTGTCTCTCATACTCCTTGCCTGCAAATCTGTAATTTTACTTTGTAATTGTTCATTCACTGACTTCAGTTCCCTAATTTCCTTCACCGTTTCCTCAACATCACCTTTAAGACCAATCTGAGTTTTCTTGATTTCCCCTATCGAGTTCCCCAAATTTCCGGTAAATTTTTCCAGATGACCGACTTTAGACTGAATGTTTTCTATACGGTTACATAACAAAGACAAATTTTCACTTACTTTGTCTATTTTCGAGATTTTGGTGCCAAGGTCGTTGATTCGCATCATAAAATCATAGGTTTTTCCTCGTAATGTAATAATGGTTTATTTGTTATATTTTAAACTGTAAATAAAAAAATATTAATTTAAACTTAAACTCCATTTGATGATTAAATTTATTAAATTTACTTCACACACTGCATGGTAGTACAGACTGTACTTATTTTAGATTTAGAGTTATCCTTTCTTAGTTAGAACTGTTTAATTCATTCAGGTATTTTCAGGAGAACCAGTTTATAGGTCAAGCATGCCATAGTCGGTTGGCTATTCTTGTTATGGAGAGTTTTTATTGGTAGGCCATTGAGGTCAAATTCCTTAGTGAGTTTTCCTTTGTTATTTTTAAATTCACTTTGAATCTAGCCATAAGCCAGAGCGCTAGCTTATTATAATTGTCTGATTTACACAGTTTGAATATACATAGTGTTGACTGGAAATAAGACCTGATTACAGTAAGTTCTTTATTTTCTTTTGCCAACACTTTGCATGGTTGAATGAATGAGTATGAATGAAAATCAAATAAAGTATTTGATGAGTTAATGAAAATGTGTAAAATCATATAATAATGGTTTAAATGAATAAAAATCTAAAGATTTTTAAAGTTACACTGATATAGGAAATATGCTTTATGATGAGATCTGACCTTAAGAATTTGTAAATATTGTATATATTATAAGATTTAGACAATACAACCATATGTTGTAAAATATAGGTCAGATATAATGGTTTGGACGTGACGCCCTGATTTATTAGAGGACAGCCTAGGTCCACAACTTGGTATGTATTTATATTATTATTTATTTTTGAGAACTGTAAAAATTTTTGGTAAATTATATAAATTTACTTGAGTTTTTATGCTTATGCTGAAACATGGTGAAATAAGAGTTATTTCCCTTTTGTAACATCTATGAAGTGATAATGAGTAAATTACTAGAAATATCAGTGTAATATAGATTTTATGCTAATGAAATAATTTGTTATAAAATATATACTTATGTTAATGTTATGAAATATTTATTATGTTTACATGTTTTGTAGGGTTGTTTATCATCTATAAATATATTATCACAATTAAAAAAGAATCAACATCACCAACTGAGTTGTTCGTATCATTATTGGGAAAACCCCGGTTACAATTAATCAAGATATTCTTCTATGTGTTCGAACGCAAAACAAACTCACAATATATTCTCATCAAGATCAGTCCGTGCAGTTTTGGTGAGCAAAACTTCGACAATTAAAGGCACCCGTTAATTTATTTTTGTGTGAAATGCTATTGAAATATATAATTCGTAATATTATAAAGTTTTTCTGAGAAAATATTAACATCAAATCTGTGTCCAAGTACCTTTAAGATTTTTGGAAAAATTTAATTATTTTGTTGAGACAATTCCAAATCCATTTACTTTTATCCACCAAAATTACGACACAACGCAGAGATCAAATCACTTAATGGAGAAATCTGCAGTAAGTTATAAATTTCATGATTAATCTGATTTGACACAGTTCGAATGGGCGCTTTTTATTCTTGTCAGGCTAGGTCAATGTCACATGTGTAAGATGTAGAGAGAAGTTAATGAATGGCATACATTTGTCATCGTATCGGAAGAGTTATCTTCACCGGAATACAGGTGGCGCAGCGAACGCTGCGGTCCTAGAACAATGGCGTCGCACATGATTAGTTTAAGGAATCAAGGTTATGGGTCGTGGGATCTACCCAGGTTAAGAGGGGAATTAAGAAAAAGAGGAGCTAGGGTCTCTGGAAGGAAGGCAGAGCTCATAGAAAGGTGAATAATAACTTTTCAGCCTTATACAAGCATTATGTCGTCCTTGAAGACGATGACCTCTGAAATCGTTCTAGAGAAGTTCATGTATATACAAGTATTACGATAAACAAATACAAATGGTATAAAGCAGATTACAAGAAACAATATATAGCTTCTTTTTTATTGGAAACGTGTAAGTATATCGACCAACCTACATATTTAGTTTGATAGTTAATCCAAGATTTCCCCGGAAAGTTCAACTATTATCATGATTAATTTCACAGGCCTCTCTTCAACTATCAAAGTATAGCGGCTATACTTTATAACCGTAAAGGTCCTTGTTGGGTTTATTTATCGGTTTAGATGATTGTAAGTTTGTTTGGGACATAA